ACTACATATGAAGCTCTACTTGAAAAGTGCAGGGTGCATTTAAGCTTGTCCTAAGGTTCTGTCTGAAGCATGTTCTGACAGCACTTAATAAACTAATGTTTTTTATAGCTGAAGGGTTTGGTTGGGCTTTGTGGGTGTGATGAAGTATATGTGAGTTTTTTCCCTCCTTTTTTTCTTTTTGAGCAGAAATAATGATGAGATTTGGGGGATAAACAAAGGGCTTCTAAAGAGATTGTTCCTATTGTTTGAGGATCTTATTTAATCTTTTGAGTTACAATAGAAACTTAGGAGGGGAAAAAACAAGTGAGCTGTTTGCRGGACTGAYCTAGAGTTAGAGGTATAGTAGTACACTATAGGCACTGGCAAAWCGGAAGGGATGATTGAATGGCAGCCGGAGTGGCCCTGAGAGTATTACCTATGTACAGCATAAAGATGAAGCTTTGCCACTCACATACCCTCATTCCATCACATCTGGTGAGAGGACATGGAACAGATTGCTGTCTCTGCCTGAAGACTGATTTCCAATATTGTYGGTATTGTGCTCTTTCTTTCTTGGACACAAACTGTGTGAGATGCTTTATTCTGTTGGACTCAAGTGAAATATGATTTCAGTATTGATGGCTGAAGGATTCAAGTCTCAGTCTCCTTGAACAATGTCTAACAYAAAGCAGATATGCAATAAATGTTTAATCACAGTAGTAGAGTTATAATACTGATGAGGACAAGAAACACTCTAGTAGTAGACATGTCTTTTAGTGACTAGAGATAACATCTAATTAAAGGAGACTTAGTGGATTGAGCCTCATGTTTYCCCCCTCAATGCTGAACTTTTAAAAATAAAATTGTGTGTCAAGACTGTGAAACAGTTTTTAAAACTGTTTTTAACAATAAGGACACTGGGTAGGATATGTGTATTTATGTATATGTAGTAATACTAGTCTAACTATTTATTCACATTTAGTGTCCTTATAAAAGGACTGGGGTTYCCCCCCCATTTTTATTTAGATAGCACCCTGATTTGGGTCTATTGCATTCAAATTATGTTGCTGTTTTCTAAATAACTACCATTGTGACAAATCACTGCCTTGTATGTTGATTTTGGATTTAGATAGGAGAATAGAGCCCAGGAAGAAAGAAAAAAGCAAAATGAAGATGGGAAAACAAGGAAGAAAACTGTAGTCTAATGCAAACCWATAGAACCCAGAAAATCAAGGGAAAACAATACTCTAAGTGGAAATAACAGGCAAAGGCTTCCACTTACATGAATGAATAACTATGGAAATTAAGCTGTTTGTGCATGGGGTTTTAAGATAGTCTAATTTTACATGTATTTGAAATTTTCTAATAAAGTTTTAAACAAGTACAAAGGGAAAATACTAAAAGTTATTACATTTGATTTTGCATTTTTAATACTTAATTCAAAGAAAATTTATAAGAAAGATTTCACTTAGATGGTGAAGAGTAAGGTAGGTGGTACTCTAATGTATAATAGAGTAAGGTAGGTGGTACTCTAATAGCACTTGTCGTGTGTGTTCAGAAAATTCACATTCCCAGGTGAGATTGCTGGCTAGTTCTTGATTCAATAATTCTATGAAGATTATAGCTTTTTAGATGTTTTTCTTTCCCCCATGCCAGGATAATCTGATGAACACCATACATTTCCTAAAGTCTCACTGCTGTTTCAGAGCTGGATTTCCACTTGATCCTCCATATACACCATTATTTGGATGTTGTACTTTGAAATCTTCATTGATTCCAGTTTGACTTAAACTTTCAAATGGATRTAGGTCAATAGGGGTTGCACAATGCTTAAGTATAGAGGATGGTCTAAAGGAAACAGGAAATCAGAGTTCCAAATAGAAGGGGAATGTTGAGCTTTTAGTTCCCTGGACACTGGCTGGAAGAAAGGAAAGATGGAGAAGTAAATGTAGTGAAATGTGTACTAAAAAACTGTGTAAGAAAGGTGCCAACTTGTCCATCCAAAAGGCTCCAAGACCACCTCCTAAGCATAGTGGTGAAGGATCACAGGCACAAGGAGAAAGGAGCTCATCCAGAGGCTAGCCATGGAGTAATACATGGTTGGAGGGACACGTGAATAAAAGCCTTACCAAGAAGGAAGAAGACCAGGTTAAAAATGAACATGCATTCATCTTACATTCAACCAGTGTTTGTCAAACACACATCATTGTTCCTTAATTCAGCAATTATTTAGTTAATACCTATGGTGTTAGGTACAAGATGAATCTACTCATAAAGAATGTAGAATCTGCTTGAGAAAGGGACACATCCATAGTGAAGTGTAAACTTAGTCCATTTCATGTGATGCCTGCTGTAATGAAGGTGCATTTGATGCTGTAACTTGCACAGAAGTGAACCATTATTTCAAGGAAGACCTCACCTACCACCTCCCAGTGGAAATGGACCCTAAAGCCTCAGAAAAAAATAGGAAAAGAAAAGAAAGACATTTCATGCAGAAGGAATTAGTATGTGAAAAAGCATGCCATATTTGGGAAGGTTTTGAGTGATCTGATACTGGAGCACAGGAGTTGAAGGAAGAATGGAGATGACAAGGTATTAACCTAACAGATATACCTCCAACACAGTCTTATGGCAGAGGTATTAGTAGGTAGAACAGATCTTTTCCTACATGAATAAGTTAACACAAGTATGTAACTATTCCAACAGTGACTCTTARATTTTGCTTTAAAAAATGTTTTAAAAACTTTAAACGAATCTTGAGTACAACAAGTGTTTATAAGTGTGAGTATATTGAGAAACATAATTTTGCTCATTTTGAATCAGTTTCCATCATTTGTTTTATTTTGATGAACTGATTTTGGAACATCCATTTCTCTGTCATACTTAATAGTTTGAAAGGAAACTCTGCTAATCTGGCTACATTTCTTCCAATCAGAAAAAAAGGAGTTAGGGGGATAGCTCACTGGTAGAGTGCATGCATACATGCATGAGGCCCTGAGTTCAACCCCCAGCATACTAAAGAATAAGAATATACTTTGGTGGAGTGCCCTGGTACTTGGCCTTAGCTACTTGGGATACTGACACAGGAGGGTCACTTGAGCCCAGTGTTCAGCCTGGGCAACATGGCAAAAATCTCATCACTTAAAAAAAGGAAAAAGAAAAGTTTTAGTTCTTGTCTTCAATGAACAGAAAGCATTTTTTTTTCTTCCTGATGAGAAGTATGTTTATAAAAAGTTGCTGTGTGTCATTTTAAAACCAGATGCCTGTTAGTATTCGTAATCAAAATGAGGGATTTAAAGTTATACTGGGCCTGTCTCAGCACTTTTTCAATTGAGAACATGCATTATGCCTCCTGGCTGTTTTCCAAAAAACTGTCCTTAAGAAGTTATGTGAATTTCCTTTGCAGCAGTCCACAGGGATGGAAGTCATTCAGACCACTCCTTCAGACTCTTGTAATTTAATTCTGGGCACTTGAGTTAACAACATGAACAGAGTTRTGTAGTGGTAATTGTATAGGTATGGGGTCAAGTAGCTGATCTTATTTTTTTTATCTACCCTAAATGTACATTGCACACTTACTAAATTAGCTTCTGATTTTTCTTTGGCCTCTTGGGAAATATGATCCAGCATGCCTAAGTTTGTAGAAAAAACATCCTGAAATTTGGGGTTTTTGTTGTTGTTGAAGCCTCATTTTTGTTTGGTTTTTCCTTCCCAACAAATAACTTTTGTTATTCCCAGAAATAATACTGGAAACTGCATTAATTGGAAAGGTAGAACAATGGCACAAGTTAATTGGAAAAATAATAAACGTCATATCAGATATAACATCTGATATACAGTTTGTAAGTTTGTATTTTTCCTATGGTTCTAAAGGTGTTACTTGCTTTTTCAGCTGAACTCTGGATGGCCCCATCTATCCATTCTGGACTCCAGCTAGCTTTTATTTCTGTTGTATTTGAATAAAGAATCTAGAAATTCTCTGAGGATTGTGTATTAGATGATTGTGAACTAGTTAAATGAGATTACAAGACACAAATCATATATTATATGTTAAAGTGGTATTTTTACACTTCTGCTCTTTGTGAGCTTTTCAAGTCATTTGCCAGTGAGATAGCTGAGAAAAGGAATCTATACTTCCTTCTTAATCTATACCTCTTTTGGCATTTGTACCATGCATGTGGTATAAATATACACAAATCTGACTTTAAAAAAAAAAAAAGGAGGCAGGAGAGAAAAGAAAGATTTGAGTGTCAGTATGTGCAGAGCACTAAGCCAGATGCTATGGAAGTTATAAGAGGATWCCAGTTTAGGGGCTTTTCCCAGGAGCTGAACATGACATTACATGAACAAACAACTCACAAGAAGTTAACGAGGTGAAGAGAGAAAGTGGTAAGACACTGATAAGCAGAGTCAGTGCTATGAGTGTTCACTGAATGGTTAAGCTTTTGGGAGAAGAAGGAAAGGCTTCCAGGACTCAAGGCTTCAAAGAAGTAGGGAACGTTTGTCCTGAGATTAGAAGACCTGAGGGAACAGGAAGAAGCCCATGGTTTAAGTTGCCCCTATTCTCTCCTACTTAAAGGCAGGCATCTGCTGTCCTGGATGTGGAGCCTGGGGATGGATATAGTGGGAATAGAAGAGTGTTGAAGGTCTGAACCTCTCTCTACACCCAGAATTAGTGATACTGAGGGTTCAGGGAAAACAGTGATATCAGACCCCACCATACACTTGTATGATTCTGAGAGTGTGTCAGTTGTCACTGAAGAGTATAAGTAATGCTGTTCCTGAGAGTCATTATTTTCTGATTGTTAAGAAGTTGTTTAGGTTGATAAAGTCATATCCAAATGTCCAATGTGCCTTTCTGATGYATATAAGTAAATGAATTCTCATATATTCCATTAATGGCAGTGACAGCTGTGCTGAATGTAATTCCACTTCCTTGGACTAAAATATACAATTTTTGTTTACTCACAACATCAATCTAAAAAGGGAGTCAGTCTTAACATTATTATTTCCTTTTTCAGACAAACGGACACTTACCTGGGAATGGAGATGTATATCAAGAAAGGCTAGCTCGCTTAGAAAACGATAAAGAATCCCTTGTTCTTCAGGCAAGTAATTTTAAATGTTACTTTTCTCATGATGTACAGTTGGCCCTCCAAACTTTGGATCAAAAATATTTGGAAAAATTGAAGCTGTTCTAAACATGTACAGACTTTTTTTTTTCTTGTCATTATTTCCTAAACAATATATATGACAACTATTTACATAGCATTTACATTGTGTTAGGTAAATTAGAGGTGATTTAAAGCATATGGGAGGATGTTCATAGACCATATTTAATACTATGCTGTTTTATATAAGGATTTGAGCTTCTACAGATTTGGTATTTGCAGGGATGCTGGAACAAATCCCACACAGATACCAAGGGAAGCCTGTACTTACAAGATGATTTTAAATTGAGATGGTCAGTTCAGATACTTACAACAACAAGGTTGCTAAATAAAAATGCAGTAGACCATCTGTACACACTAGGAAGTAGTGAGGATGGTGGTGGAGTGTGTATCCAGCCTAGAGGGAGCAGTTCTTAGCCTCAGCCCTTCAAGGCCAGTCTGAATACAAGCTCACTATCATCTGATCTGACTTTCTAATATCATCCATCATTTGATCTGATGTTTTAATATGTAACAGAAATTCAAATATATAGCTGTAGTATAAAAATATCAATGTTATAATTTCTGAATATGAATATATGTATAATTTTTCTATTTATAAAATGATACCATGGGTCAAACAGAACAGAACACAACAGTGAGTGGAATCCTGCTTGTAGACTAAATTTACTTACTTCCTCATAGTGTTTGGACAAGTAATTTTTACTTTGGTATTTTGACTAAATGAATATTTATTATATTATTATATTTATTAGGCTGATGATCAGTGAGGAAAAMCATGTAGATCTCAATAAGTACTAAGGATGAAGGAGTAAGCCTACAGTTTCTTGTGGATCWTTGAATATGTTTCATTGTACCYTGGGTGTTTTTTTGTTTGTTTGTTTGTTTTTTAATACTTGGACTTGAACCAGGGCTTTATGCATGCTAAGCACATTCTCTAGCATTGAGCTACACCCCTAGCCCTGCATCTTGGCTTTGAATACATTTGCAGTCAGTGTGATCTTGAAAGATATTGTGGAATTTAAATTCCCTGGGTTCTTTTCCTTATTCTTCAAACATCATATTTGAATACTCCTTGACAATATCTGCTTCAAATATGAACTTCATTTCCTCTCTTCCATTCTAATACTATTTCTTCATTCCCCCAAACAGAATTTGTGTTCATAAATTTTTTCATCAATGATTGAAATCTATAAAGCATTACACATCCCCAGTCAGCACTAATTTTCTCATAAACTGAACAGGAATTCTTAGATCCAGAAGCAACATGTAAATAGTACTGTAAAAGACCTCTGTAGTCTTCTCAGATTGTTTTGYTTTTCTTTTTCTTTTTTTTAAATATTTATTTTTTAGTTGTAGTTGGACACAATACCTTTATTTATTTATTTTTATATAGTGCTAAGGATCAAACCCAGGTCATCTCACAAGCTAGGCAAGCGCTCTACCWCTGAGCCACAACCCCAGCCCCTCAGATTGTTTTTCTTTACCACCATGAGTAGTGAGATTATTCTAGTTTGTGTTCACTTAGAGAAATAAAGTATGCCAATAGAATCCAAATTCTGTTTTTCTTTTTTCTTTCCTTCCTTCCTTTTTTGCAGGGGCAGGGTTGTGGTGATAGGAACAAACCTAGGGCCTCAAACATACTAAGCAAGCATTCTACCATTGAGCTACATCCCATACCATTTTTTTTTTTTTTTAATTTTAAGACAGGATCTGGCTAGGTTTTCCAGGCTAACCTTCAACTTGTACTCCTCCTGCCTTAGCCTCCTAAGTTGCTGGGATTGTAAGTGTGTACCATCACACCTAGTGGAACCTAAATTCTTTCTCACTCATTGCAGTATTTTACTATAAATATAGGTCAGTGTGTTAACAGACCAGGTGGAGGCTCAGGGAGAGAAGATTCGAGATTTGGAGTTTTGTCTTGAAGAGCACAGAGAGAAACTGAATGCCACAGAAGAAATGCTGCAGCAGGTATGTGTAAAAGCTGATGAGGGTAGAGATGGTGGTGAGATGTGTCTGTCTTTAGTCTGATGGAGCAGCAAATTTCCAGACTCACTCTGACTGGCACATCTTAAGCAAAAAACTAGAGTAAGAGGGTCMCAAACTACATAGACAAAACGTGTTTAATTAGAATCAAAATATTAATGGAATTGTAGGTTATTTTCTTCTTTTTGCATTCACACAATTCCCTAACTCAATCATGGACATATTTTATGATTAAGGAAAAGATAATCACTATATATGGCCTATGTTATTGGGAAAAAACATGTACATATGCACACATAGTGCTCATATAGGAGAGGCCCTATAGGTTGTGGACAAAATAAAATCGCTGTTGCAAAACAGCTTAGTTTGAATTCCTGCTCTGTCATTTCCTTGCCATGGAACTTTGACAAGTTCTTAACCTCTCTGTTCTTCAGTTTCCTCTTCTGATGAATGAGGATAARGGTTTCTACCTCACAAGACTTTTGAGGCGATGGAATCACTTAATATATGTCACATCAGTACCTGGTACATAGCAGACGTGTCGTCCTCGTCRTCGTMGTCATCATCATCATCAGGCTTAGGAATATGTAAAGGATCTGGGGGTGTAACCCAGTAGTAGAGTACAGGCTTAGCATGGGTTCAATCCCTTGTACCAAGGAAAAAAAAGAATAGATAAGAACTGAGTGCAGGGGTGCACTCCTGTAATCGCAGGTACTGCAGAGGCTGAGTTCTGGAGACTAGCCTGGGCCATTTAGCAAACCCTGTCTTTAAAAAAAAAAAAAAAAGGTGTGTGTGTGTGTGTGTGTGTGTGTGTGTGTGTGTGTATCTGCTTTAAAAAACTGATATGTGTTCTCTTCAGAGAATAGTAAATAATCTAAAAGTACGTATGTCTAGTAATTATTTTTCAAGGCACCCTCTTACTTCAGATCTTTGCTGCTTTGCAATCAGAAATGTCCCAGATTTACATGTGGACATTTATAATAAAATAACKTCTGAATGTGTTTCTTATATTCTAATAGGAGCTTCTGAGTAGGACATCCTTAGAAACTCAGAAGTTGGATCTGATGGCTGAAATATCCAACTTGAAGTTAAAACTGTCAGCTGTAGAGAAGGACAGACTGGATTATGAAGACAGGTTTCGAGACACAGAGGTAAGTGACCCCTTCTTTTTGTCTGTCTGTCGCTCTGTCTCTGTCTCTCTCTGTCTCTCTCTCTCTCTCTCTCTC